AGATTGAAATACAACTTCATAATAATTTAACATTGAGTCTTTACTGTGTTCCATCCATATCTCTAGGTGGTTCCATCCATTTTTATAATTTAAAAATTAAAAATTGTGGGGACAATAACCCTCCATTTTTCAGATGAAGCATCTGAGGTTCAGTAATGTCCCCAGAATCACAGGAATAATGGAGAACAGATAATTCAACCCCTAGGTCTTGTGGAGAAATTAAACCCCTCATACTAGTGGGAATGTAAAATGGCATAGCTGCTTTGGAAAACAGTTTGGCAGTTTCTCAGAATGTTGAACATAGTTAACAGGACCCAACAATTCCACTCCTAGGTATTTATTTACCCAAGAGAATAAAAAACATATGCCCCCCACAAAAACTTACTCACAAATGTTCATAACAGTATTTGTAATAGCCAAAAAGTGAAAACAACCCCATTTCCATTAAACAACCCAATTTGAACAAACTGTAGTATTATGCATACAGCAGAATTATTGTTCAGTCATAAAAAGGAATGAAGTACTGATACATGCTATAATATGGATAAACCTAGAAAACATGATGCTAAGTGAAAGAAGCTAGACACTAAAGGTCACATATTGGCCCTAGTTGGTTTGGCTCAGTGGATAGAGCGTCGGTCTGGACTAAAGAGTCCCAGGTTCGATTCCACTCAGGGGCACATGCCAGGGTTGCGCTCCATCCCCAGTGGGGGGTCTGCAGGAGGCAGCTGATCAATGATTCTGGTTGCTGTTTCTAACTCTCTCTCCCTTTCTTTCTGAATATTAAAAAAAAAAAGGTCACATATTGTATGACTCCATTATACAAAATATTCTAAGTAGACAAACCCATAGAAACAAAGCAAAGTAGATGAGTGGTTGCAAGAGGAATTGGGGGATGGGGCAATGACACACTTTTGGGGGTACAGGGTTTCTTTCTGGGCTGATAGAAACGTCTAGAATTAATAAAGTAGTGATCGTTACACAACTTTGTGGATATACTAAAAACCACTGAACTGTACATTTTAAAGGGATGAATTACATGTTTTGTGAATTACATCTCAATTTTTAAATTAAAAATAAAACAAAACAAACAAAAACAACTAGACTGATGCCAGAGCTCTCAAATAGTATTTGTACAATGCCAGTCTGCCTTTATATTTTTCTGGTGGACACAATCTATCTTAATATTTTATCTAATTACTCAGAGGTTTGACCATCAGGGGATCCTTCCTCCTAAACCTATCCGGTCCCCACCCCCAGAAAAATAGTCAAAATATAAGGGAAAGGCAGAACTTAACTGGTATTAGCCATCTTTTAGAAAGGAACATTTTTCAAATTTGCAACTGTCAAGAACTTGCAAGTTCAGAGAACAGAATTAGTAATTCCTCTATGAACACATTGGTGGTTTTCAGACATAAACAAAATGTGGGGGTGGTCGTTTACTTATTATGTATTATCAGATCAAAATATGTTGATCCTACATAAAATAGCATAATGCAGGACTACAGGAGAGATAAAAGTTGGAAACTCTGAATCTAAGCTCATATTAGTTACAGGAGCAATTTCTCCTTCGAGGGAAAAAACTATGATTGACAGATTTCTGTCAATCTATAGTTTAAATTACTTTAAATCTGATACTGTTATTAACTAGTTTACTGCAAGCTGTAACTTCAACCAAACACCTTTTTAAATTACTTGAACTTTTGGGAGAGTGGATATAGGAATAAAACTTAAAATTCTCCACAGTAATTTGGCAAACCAGACTCAGTAGCTGAGTATTAATTCTAATACTTCAATAAAGGCAGACATCTTGAGTATCTATTATTTATGCTGTCACTCAGAAAGCTGAACAAAAATTTCTAGGAATTATCAAACTTTCAAATCACCTATTTTTCTATCCATCATATGGTTATACTTCATTTGATGAGTTACCTAAAAGTTGTCCTTGTGACTGAAGTATTTTTAATCAAGGAACCTAATTATCCTGAAATTATAATGCAAAACAATAGCAAACCTGAGTAATAAATGAATAATTCCAATCATGACTTCTACACCCTGCACAAATGCACAAAGTTAAATACTTTCCCTCTTCCATTTTCTTTCCATCATTTTTGAGGGGAAGAAATGCTCCCCTAATATAGTAAAAATAGTAAAGTACTTATGGCATAATTCTACTGCTCTTTCCCCTCTTAACCTGTAGCCATCACAAAGATTAAGGAAATGAAAAACAGCAATTTACTTCCAATAATCTTCAGTAAAAGGACCAAACATATATTTCTAGGAACACAAGGTCGTACTAGTGCATCTCTTTAAGGAACAGGCTGAATATTAATTTATCACAGTCCAAAGTTCTCTCATTAACTTCGGATACTTTTTTAGACTGCCATTTTTCAGTGACTTTTAAAGCCTAAATAACATGCTTGCCCTCCTAAATTTCGTCTTCAAAAATGAAATCCGAGAAACACTTTGAAAGAGAAAATATTTTAATTTTCCTTTGTGAATGTTTCATTAACAATTGTCCCATGAATTGTGAAGAAGTCAGAAGCTTAACAGAGAAGTTAAAAAAAAGAACCAAATGTGTGTACCCTTCATCTTAATACACCTTGAAATATTACTGAACCTTGCTTTGGAAAACTTTCAAGGGTACAACTTGAAAATAAAACGTTTATCCCTTCCACTCTCTAGAAAACAGGTAATGAACCAGGTTTCAGTTTTAAAG